TAGATCTGGGGCCCACCCAGCCTCCTGTCCAACGGGTACCAAGGTCCTTTCCCAGGGATAAAGCGCTGACCACTCGCCCCATCTAGTGCCGAGATTAAGAATGAGTAGGAGCTATACCGTCTCTCCCCCCAAGCGCCTACTTGGCGTACAGTGGGACAGCTTTACTTTAATCTTTGTCGAGACACGTAAACATTACACAGTGACAATGAGATTGGCGAGGCATGTAACACGGATGGAAGACACGAGTAGATGCTGTTTCTGTTGAAAGAACTGGGCGATGAAAGGAGGATAATATTAAAATGAGAGTTAGAAATATAAGATTGTAAGCTGTGGATTGAATTCTTCTGCATTGGGTAATGGTTAGTAGAGAGGTTTTGTGACGACGATAATGAACTGTAGGGTTTTGTTAAAAAACGGGTAGTCTCTTTGCTAGGTGAGATACTGTTAGCTTCTCTGCCCCACGTGGTTAATTGGTTGGTTTTTCATACCATTTATTCAAAATGCTGTTTGCTGACAGTGTACTAGGTAAATCCAGTTAGTCATTCAATTCTTTTCCATTTATTCTGAAGTAATGGAGTGTGCTGTTAATTCTGTTAATCAGATGCAATTATAACATTGATTATATTTATGCATAATTCATTCGCATTTGAAGGCAATTCTATCTGGCTTCTGGATGGTTGCGATAACAAGAGTCTAATGGATATTACCTGATAATCAGAGCTATTATGGAATTGAAGGGTGGCGCTGGTTTGCATCTCTTGTTACTGGGGGGTGGACCGAACTGATTGAGGGTGGATTTCTGTCACCGGGGAGTACAAGCACTGTCAAAACTTTTACGAAGACCCACTCGTACCACACCTAACTTGTTTACACTTCAGAGTTTATTAATTTCTTTGAAAGTTGAATTCCGATTTATCGATATATCGGAGAATGTTTCAGGTGTGAGTAGAGTTTCCCTGGTCCTGGGTTTGAGTCCTCTGCATGGGGAACTGAAGTTGTGAAAGGCCGAATGCTATTTGTGGTTGGTTAAATGTAACTCGCGGTCTGACTGACAGATCTGTGGCGCTGCGATATGTCGTTAAAGAGACTGTACTTCTCCCACCCACCCCTCCAGTGCCTCAAGATTTTTCTCGGTGAACTGAAAATTTGAAATTCGAAGTGGTTGTTGTCCAGAATTTGAAATGAGATCATTCTTTTCACGTGAATAATATCACCAGCAGAGCTGGTATTTAAAACCACATGAGTCAAAATTTCTTGTTTGTGCTGTACACGTTCATTATTCTTCATAGAGTGCTTTCTATTAAATTTTTACAGTGTAATGAGCATTTATAATTACCTTGTATATGGGCACCAGTACATTTAAAGTTAATATATAAGTGGTATTATAATAGTTAAGTATGCTTAAAAATTATGTACGTTTATATCCTGAATATTATTTAGTTTAAAAAGCGTTTAATAATATTTATCATAATTCTTCAGTTATAATAGGATCAACATTGAAACTTATTTCTGTAGTGGTAAATTTATTAAATTTTATTATATGTGCCAAAATTTAGAAAATATTTATTTCTTCGTGTGTTTTATAAGTAAAAAATTAGTCCAAAAATTATAAAGCTTTAAAACAAAAGTACAAATTACTGTAAATTACTCACCAAAATCCGTCTGTACCCGAATCCGAAACACCGTTATACTGAATCACGTGTCACCTTTTTTTTAAAAAAAAAAAATGTTGGTTTGTAAATCTGTGTCGGGTTCAATGATATTAAACTTACAGGTTACAGGGTGTCTTATTTATTTTTCTTTCCTGCGTCGTTCCCCTGCAAGTCTTAGGGGGACACATATAGCGCTTCGCCCCTCTAGGGACATTTCTGTCGGAGCCCCCTAAATGTAACTCGCGGTCTGACTGACAGCTCTGTGGCGCTGCGATATGTCGTCAAAGAGGCTGTTCTTCTGAATGAACGCTGAGAGAACCGGCTCTTTGGGTACGTATCGGTTTTATGTGCGTCGCGTCGCGTGTGGGATAGACAGAACTGTACATCTCCGGATCTAACTTTTGTTACAATTCCTGTCACGGAGACGTTAAAGAGACTGTATTTCTCTCGCCCACCCCTCCAGTGCCTCAAACTTTTTCTCGGTGAACTGAAAATTTGAAATTCGAAGTGGTTGTTGTCCAGAATTTGAAATGAGATCATCCTTTTCACGTGAATAAGATCACCAGCAGAGCTGGTATTTAAAACCACATGAGTCAAAATTTCTTGTTTATGCTGTACACGTTCATTATTCTTCATAGAGTGCTTTCTATTAAATTTTTACAGTGTAATGAGCATTTATAATTACCTTGTATATGGGCACCAGTACATTTAAAGTTAATATATAAGTGGTATTATAATAGTTAAGTATGCTTAAAAATTATGTACGTTTATATCCTGAATATTATTTAGTTTAAAAAGCGTTTAATAATATTTATCATAATTCTTCAGTTATAATAGGATCAACATTGAAACTTATTTCTGTAGTGGTAAATTTATTAAATTTTATTATATGTGCCAAAATTTAGAAAATATTTATTTCTTCGTGTGTTTTATAAGTAAAAAATTAGTCCAAAAATTATAAAGCTTTAAAACAAAAGTACAAATTACTGTAAATTACTCACCAAAATCCGTCTGTACCCGAATCCGAAACACCGTTATACTGAATCACGTGTCACCTTTTTTTTAAAAAAAAAAAATGTTGGTTTGTAAATCTGTGTCGGGTTCAATGATATTAAACTTACAGGTTACAGGGTGTCTTATTTATTTTTCTTTCCTGCGTCGTTCCCCTGCAAGTCTTAGGGGGACACATATAGCGCTTCGCCCCTCTAGGGACATTTCTGTCGGAGCCCCCTTTATGCTGGTACAATACATACGAGGTACGATCGGAAAGTTTCAAGACTGCGCCTATAAAAACCCGTACACTTATCTCAGGTATTAAATTCATCCATCACCCTCGAACTAATTCCCCTGGGAGTGAACACAACGATCCCAGCGCCGCTGCCAAGCCTGGAAACATCCCTGGAAATCTTTCTTTGTCAGCCTGTCAAGCACCATCTGCGATTCTGCCTGAATCTCTTCTATCGTCTCAAATCTCCTTCCCTTTAGCTGAATTTTCATCTTTGGGAAGAGGAAGAAGTCACACGGCGAATAAGGAGGGTGCGGGATGACGGCCATATCAGACAGGATGCGTCGCATGGGGGGTTCTTCCTTTAGAATCAGCTGACATGTCCCATAGCCTATCCCAACAATGTCGACCAAGTCGTTGATGGTACGACGTCGATCTTCGTGAATGGCCTGCCGAATCTTCGTACCATTTTCGGGCGTTGTGCTCGAAGATGGTCGTCCAGAACGCTCGTCATCATGGACAGAGGTTCGGCCCTTTTTAAAACGTGAATGCCACACAAAAGTTTGTGCACGACCCATTGCGGACTCCCCAAATGCTTGCTTTAGCATTTCATAGGTTTCCGTAGCCGTTTTGGCGAGTCTTTGGCCAAATTTGATGCACACGCCATTCCGAAATCGCAGGAGGGTCGGTGTAATGCACTACCAAAACGCCCGTAACTAAGAAACAAATGCTAATTCGATGATGCCGGCTGGCACACGGATTTACTATGTTTGTAGGCCGCACCCCCTAGCGGCAGAAGCTCGTACTACATCCGGTTCGCCCGCTATTGACACAGTCTTGAAACTTTCCGATCGCACCTCGTATTTCCATATGTTCCTAGGAGAATCATAGCAACGAGAGCCTAAATATTGGTAAATATCTTCATCACCTGGTGGTCCGCGCTGCCATAAATTTGACCGGTCACAACGAGGCGACCACTAAAAAGCTCTTAACTACAGAGGAGGAGGGGGGGTTGCCTGCCCCCTGAAACAGGCTCGTCCCCTCAGTGACCTCACAAATAATTCAACTAATCCGTGCGTCACAGTGACATAATTAATTACTAGTACTGTCCGAGTGGCTACCTGAACATTAATGAGCCAGTTGGCATTTAATATTGACAATTACATCCGTTTGCCGTTGTTGTGAAAGCTCCCTTGGTGTTTATAGGCCCGTTTTAATGTCATAAACTGCGCCATATTTTTTTAATTACTAGAATAGTGGTTTGCAACCTGTGTTCCGCAGAACTCGGGCTTTGACGAGGAAGCCCGCGGATTACATGGAGTTTATTAAGCCGACTAGTATGTTTCTGTGAGCGACTTAAGGCCTCGATGCGCACTTGGTGTTTGTCCCCTCGACACAGCATCCTGCCAACAGTCAGATCTCCTGTGGACCACGAGGCGCCTTGCCCGCCTGTGTCCCTGTTCCGTGTCCTTTGCTTCAATATCGACGTACGTCTGTAATTTTGAATACCGAAAGTGGTCGAAGGAAGACAACGAGCCAGCACAGTCCAATCTTTCACGTTACATCAAAATATTCTTATAGTCAATTTCCAAGAGCCACGGTGGTCTAGCGGTTAGAACGCTGGCCTTGTAATCCTGGGGTCTCGGGTTCGATTCCCGCCGGTGGCCGAATT